AACGCGGAAAAAAAAAAAAAAAAAAAAAAAAAGAAAGTCGTCCAAAAAATCTGAAAACAATATATGTTATGCAGACAGACAAAGTGAACAACATTTGCCTCAGAGTTACCTACAAGTTCGATACCAAATTCAAATTAAAAATAAATAACGGGAAACAAAAAATAATAATAGAAACAAAAAAATTGAAGAGAGAATTATAATCAGTGTGCGGGCGGGCACATTTTAAACACCTCCATCTTTGAAGATTTTTTATTTTTTTTTGGATCAGTGAAATTCCCTGAAAATTAATAGGTGTGTATCTCACATGATACAAAACTCATTAAAAAAACATAAAAAAATAAAAAAATTGTTTAGGCCCCGAAACAAAGTGAAAACAAAAAGAGAAAAGAGAAAAAAAACAAAATAGTGAGTGGGTGAGCACGTTTTGACACCGCCATATTTGGCGATTTTTCATTTTTTTTTTGGCTAAGCAAAAATATCTCAAAATTTAGAGGCATGTACCTCACATCATAGAGAACTCACAAAAAAAACTTCAAGAAACAATAATAATTTTTAGGCCCCGAAATAATTTTTGGCGGGGGCCGAACCTCTTCAGGTTCGGAGGGGTTCGGCCCCCGAACGCCCAAACGTACGGAGGTTGGCCCAGGGGCCTCCGTACGTACGGGCTGGTAACCCTGTATATATATATATATATATATATATATATATATTAAAATAAATATAGAATATATATATATATAATAAAAATAAAAATTAAATAAATTAAAAAATAAATAAATAAATAAAATAATAAAAATATATAAAAATAATAATAATAAAATAATAACAAAATAACAAAATATATTACACAATAAGTGTATAATACGACTCAGGCCCGCCAGGGGAGCCGCAAAGGAGTAGTAGTTGAAAATGCCACGGGTTTTTGCATTGTAAAATGCAAGTATATCTGCGTGGTCCATCGGGATCATAATTCTTATTGGCATAGGAAGGATATAACCTTTGTAATAATATACATACATATTTTTTACACAGAAAACAGTACCTTTTTTTTTTCTTTTTTTTTTTTTAACTATACTCTTCTCTCAATTTTTTCCTCACACTACCTACCTACCACTACTCCTACCCATAGGCATACGGGGAAACCCGTCGCATACCAGAGCCGTGTTTTTACGGCCCCTTGAGCCTGCAGGATACCGGCCAGGGGACGGCCAGTAGCACCAGGGATAAAGCGGACCAATCCCCCGTGCCTCCCCTCAGGCCCCTCCCCTACGAACATAGCAGACTCTGCTTGATGCCTATCAGGGGATCCAGTGGTCTATCTCTTGGGTAGCGGGTGCCAAGTAAGCCCAGGAATCAGGGCCCAGTGCCCAAGGCAGAAATACAACGTCAAAGGACTGCAGATTCAGGGGTCGCAAGGTCTCCAAGCCCGCTTCATGGGGTGGAGCCCCTCCCCTGTAGAAAAACCACTGTCTTCCTAAAGAAAACACTACCACATCCCCGATACCCGCTTTCCTAAAACACCGCAACGAAAATCCTAATTAGGGTTTCAATTAATTTTTAAAACCAAAGCACTACAAATTTCATAAAGAACACCACAACAAAATTCCTAATTAAGTCAGAAGTCCCAATACTCACCCCAACCCTAAAGGACGCGAAAATTCCTAAATTATACGTTAAACAGTTAGTATTTATTGCCTAAAGGGGCAATCATAATTCCAATACACCATCATATGAAAACACTTTTAGAAAAAGACAGATGAAAATTCGAACTAAAACCTACCCTAAGAAAGGAAATTAACAGGAAAAAACGAAGAAGAAGCTCCACTATGAACGGGGAGAGAATCAGTGATAAAAGAGTTGAAAATACAAAAGTCTATTAACCTCATAAGATGAAACAAAATGTGAAGACCACTCGTCTTCAGCAAATCAGCACATGGCTTTCCTTGGCAAAGGAGCAAGATGTACGGGAAACCATAATTCCCCTGGTCAAGTGACTCAGCATACAGGAAACCCAATCCGTGCTAATCAAGGAGGCTCACGGCCGTGTCGATGGAAAAACCTTGGTAGTATCTCTGTGTTGTTGAGAAATAAAACTCCATATCTGGGATCAGCCGCGCCACTCGTCTTCAGCAAATCAGCACATAGTTTTCCTTGGCAAAGGAACAAGACGTACGGGAAATCACAATTCCCCTGGCCAAGCGACTCAGCATACAGGAAACCCAATCCGTGCTAATCAAGGAAGCTCACAGCTGTCCCGATGGAAAGAAAAAAAACTTTGGCAATATCAATATGTTATTGAAAAATAAAGCTCCATATCTTAGACCAGCAGCGCCAATCCCACCCTGATCTTGGTTGCATATAGCGTATAACAGGAGAGATGCACCAGCGCTCCAAGTACTATCCATTTATCACACGCAACGCGCCACACCCACCGCCAGCAGCCACTCCTTCTCCTCGGGGCATGCCGGACAAGATCCACATCCACAACGCATAGACATGGTTGTCGTGGGCCACTAGAGCCGACTAGGTATGGTGGCCTTAGCCTGGGCAAAACCCTAGCTCTAGCGCCAGCAACTTCGGGCACTCAGCGCTAGGTTAGACGCGCTGCTGCTAGTGCGTCCCCTGGCACCGCCTTAGCGCTGCTTTACATAAATTAATATAAAATAAAATAAATAAAAAACAATAATATAAAATTAATAATAAAAAATGGTAATAAAAATCAATAAAGTATATAAATAAGAAAATTTAAAAAATTCCATGATGTTGGAGCAATCAATGCTGGTCAGGGGTCCTTCGGCCGGATGGAAGGAAGCGACAGAAGGTTAACCGACCCCCCAATTTTTACCCCCCTTTATAAGAAAACCAAAGGGCCATTTTAACCATACTTCACACCAATCTGTAGAGTGCACTTCTACTAACTTATTCTAAAAAGAAAACGGAAAAGAAATAATTAAAAACATATAAAACAGCAAGCCAAAAGTGCACTTTCATGAAATTTCACCAACATTTCAATTTGTCGATTTTCTCGATTTTCAGGGTTGTGAAAAAAAAAAAAAAAAAAAAAAAGGGTTGTGAAGGTTACCCTAGGGGTGAAAAGTGGGGGTACCTGTTAACCATTTGTGATGGATAAGGACTCGCCACATCACCCAGAGTTAGCGATACCCATCCTTGAGAGAGAAAAGGGGTCGACTTTACTCACACCAATCCCGCAATACTTGCAGACTGTCGGTCCAAACCCTTGACAAGAACGGCTATAAGTCTGAGAAACTAATCTGTCAAAGCCTTAAGACCCACTCTACATACCCACTCATCCATGGATACACAATGGCATGACCGCTAGTAGGGTCCCGACCCTGGTGTGGGTGGGTGTGTGTGTGTGTGTGTGTGTGTGTGTGTGTGTGTGTGTGTGTGTGTGACTCTGTGTGTCTATGTTTGTGTCTGTGTCCCAGAGGTATTTGACATGAGTAGCTGAGAGATTCCCAGCCCTGAAGGTCTCCTTGTAACAACGGGAGAGATCTGTTTGATAGGGACGCTTTCTCTGATTCCCAAAGGGAGCAGGTGCAGGTATTGATCCCATATACAGACTTGGGCATTTTCGACTGAATTTGACCACATATGTGGTCAGATACGTTCAGGGAAGTCTTAGTCGTGCCAGTGTGCCCTTAGACGCTGTCCCATGTGTGAGTAGTAAGCTTTAGGAACGCCGACCCCCGCCAGTGCAGCTCCCACCAATGTGTGTGTGAGAGAGAGAGAGAGAGAGAGGTCCCTGCAATCTCAAGTGCATATCTGTTTTGAAACCTTTATATGTGTCATAGTGAACTGCGCAGTGAAGCGTCGGCAGAGAGGGAGGAAAAGACAACAATCGAGTGGCTGTGACAAACGTTTTCGTTGGAGTTTCACCAAATCATAATAAAAAGTTAAAAATATTATAATTACGTGCAATATAATATAATGATTGAATTGATAAAACATTAGGGGGGGAAAGTTCAAAAAAGGGCCCCTTCTTTTTGTTAAAAAAAAAAAAAAAAGTTCAAAAAACAGTAAGAGCACTGAAATATATCTGCCACGTTTTTCTGTTCAAAAGAATGCGTCCATGGTCAGAGTCCCTGCCCAAAAAAAAAAAAAAAAAAAAAAAAAAAAGTAGTACCTGTTGAGTGCTGCTATCGCGACCCTTTGCCCTGGTCGCAATCCCAACCGACGCAATCCAATGCTAAGCCTCATCACACGTCTGTGGAATTCCTGCCCCGTCCGTCGTCTGCTGCCGCACAGTGTGAGCATGCGCGATCCATGGCGCTCTGCGATGTCGCACAATGCCTGTGCGACATTTGCATGACGATCTGCAGGCGAGTTGTCGGCCAAGCATGTTCCTTTATTTATTTATTTAAAAACAGGAAAAGACACGGACAAATCCCGTGCATTATGTTCCATTGCCATATATCTTGCGCGAGTCTGCACAAAGACAAAATCTCCGAACAACCAAAATGGGCGTCATGTTCATCCAAATTTAAACGAATTGAATTTCTCCCTCCCTTCTTTCTCTCCCACTTTCCCATCCCTTTCTGCTCAACCTCTTCCACCTCTCTCTCTCTCTCTCTCTCTCTCTCTCTCTCTCTCTCTCTCTCTCTCTCTCTCTCTCTCTCTCTCCAAGCGAGGTAGAAGGGTAATCGCGACGGTGTCGCATGCCATGGACATGACGTGTATACTGCGAAAGTAAAGCCTCGCAC